CCACCACCCGCTGAGCACACGAGCAAGCGGAGCCAGATGACTGCTGCTGCTGGCTGCGCGGTTCGTCACGTCGATCACTAACGACCCTAACGACGTAGGCCCTAAGCAGGCGCTTGTCCACACCCAGAACGACCCTCGCGCGGGCTCACTGGTCTTCTGGTCCCAGCCCGAATCCTGCTGATGGAGAGCACGGACCTAAGAAGGGGCAGAGCGGCCTGGGAACGTCCCAACTGTCGCCTAAGTGGGGGGCGGCCCTCGGGAGTCAGCCGGAGGCTCAGCCTCGACCCGCGGTGACCGGGGACGCTGTTTCCTTTGTGTGAGGGCAGAGCTGGTCTCAACGGGCCAGGGGGCTTGTTGAACGGTTGACGTCCTTCCTATGGACCAGCCTGCGGCGGGGCCGGGCTCCCTCGGACTCGTGGAGTGTGTGTGCGTGTGTGTTCATGTGTGTGTTTACATGAGTGTGTGCGTGTATTCGTGTGTTTATGTACGTGTGTTCACGTGCGTGTGTGTTGGTGTACATGTGTGTCCATGCACTTGCATGTGTTCACATGCATGTGTTGATGTGCATGTGTGCATGTGTGTTTACACGAGCGTGTGTATTCATGTGTGTCTATGTGCGTGTGTGTTCATGCATGTGCTGTGTTGATGTGGGTGTGTGCTGTACATGTGTGTCCATGCACTTGCACATGTTCACATGCATGTGTGTTTATGTGCATGTGTTTGTGTATGTTCATGTGCGTGTGTTTACACGAGTGTGTACTTATGTGTGTGTTTATATGAATGTGTGTATTTGTGTGTATTCATGTGAGTGATTATGTGTGCGCATGTGTTTATCTGCATGTGCGTGTGTGTGTGTTGATGTTCATGTGTGTTCATGCGCGTGTGCTTACGTGCGTGTGTTTTGTGCATGTGTGTGTTCATGTGTGTGTTCGTGTGTCCATGTGTGCATCCATATATGTGTGTTTATGTGCCTGCATGTATTCATGTGCATGTGTGTATTCATGTGTGTGAATGTTCATGTGTGTGCGCTTATGTCCATGTGTGTATCTATGTGTCCGTGTGTGTATTCATGTGCGTGCGTTCGTGTGCATTTATGTACGTGTGTGTTTATGTGCATGCGCATGCTTGTGTGTGTTCGTGTGCGTGCGTGTGTCCATGCGTGTGTATGCACGGAGAGCGAGACACCATGCGCCCCGTTTCCCGGCGCCGCCCTGATCCCAGGCCGCACGCGTGCGCTCGCCCGATCTTGCCCCCCGACCTTTATTGGACGCACTCGCCGCCCGCTGTGCCCGCAGCCGCCCGCCAGGGGAGCCTCCTGGGATCAGCAGACGAACTTAGAGAGAAACCACAGCGACGGCCTCCGCTCTGGGTGGAAAGCCCCCCACACTATAAAATCTACCAAAGTCCATAAAATCGCCGCGGCTTCTGAATGTGTGGTTGGCTTGGTGCCCCCCTCGGGCTGCTGTGATCACCTCTGTGACCTGGTGGCCTCGCAACAGGAATTTACTTATTCGGAACCTGGAAGCCAGGGCACGAGACTGCGGTGACAGTGGTCGGGCTCCCGCAGAGCTCTCTTCCCGGCTTCTCCCCGTGTCCTCACACGCCGTGGGGCTGGGCACGGCAGAGAGAGCGGAGACCCCTTCCCAGAGGGGCCCTCATCCCTTCCCAGGCTCCACCTTCGTGACCTCGTGCGAACCAGCCGTCTCCCAAAGGCCCCATCTCCAAATACCACCGCGTGGGGGCCAGGCCTTCGTCCTGGGGGTCGCGTGGGGGCCGCGTATGATTTGGTCCCTAACGGTTCTCAAGTAAAAAAGGGATTTTTTAAAAAAAGTCTCGAAGAAGGTGCATTTTCCGGAGTATCAGTAGTTGACGAGCTGGTTTCATAAAGGAGAAGTAGCAGGTGCGCCCAGGTTTCCGGGCCACACACGACGCCCCTGCGGGAGGGCACAGGAGCAGCCCGAGACATCGCGTAAGGGAACGGCCTCGTCTGGGTTCCAACACGACTCGACTCACACAGACGGGCAGGGAGCCGGATCCACGCACGGGCCGCTCAGAGCCGGGACCCGGTGCCACAGCTGTGTGAGGCCACCAGCAAAGTGCAGCCCTACCGCAAGGGACAGTGGCCAGACACACACACAGAGAAACGCCCCGGCCCCTCCCGGATCCAGTGTGCGTTTGCTGAGCGCCCACCCGGGCCCCGCACTGCCCGGGGTCACACGGCTCACACGACACAGCAGTGCCCAACCCCTGGCGCTCCTCCTGGAGGGTGCACAGGACGCCCTCGGCGGGGGCTCGGGGCCCCGGGGAGCCGGCGTGGTGCCGCCAGCACGGCCTCAGCACGGCCCCTGCCGCTGGGACCCCGGAAGGGAGATTGTGAGAAGACGGAGGGAGAACGTCGCCCCAGCGCCCCGTTGGAGCGCTGCTGCCCTTTGAGGGCTCTGTCAACCTCCTGCTTCTCAGGCCAAGTCTGGAGTCACCCCCTGCCCCTACTCGGCGGGGGAAGGGTGGCCGCTGGAGAGGCGGGCCCCTGCCTGGGCCCTTCCCCGGGGTCAGGGCCTGTCCCGTGGTGCGCGGCCAGGGGCGGGGGGGCGGGTCTGGGGGGTCTGACCACATGGTCTCAGAAACACGCACGGTACCATCATCACATATTCTAAAATACTGAAAAGCGATGTTTGAGAAGATCAGGCACGCGGGGAGCCCGGCAGGTGCGCTCATCCAGGAGGCCGGGAGCGGCCTGTGGGCGGCTGGAGCTGGACGGCGGGTCCCCAGGCTCGCGGGCCACCCCGTCCGCCCGGGGCCAGGCTCCTCCTGAAATCCCGACTCTATCGGCGTCTCCCAGGCTGCAGGGGGCTCCCCGGCATCCACCCTCGCTCTCCTTCCCTAGAAACTCTCTGTGGAGCGTCTTCGACGGCGGTGGGGGTGCTCAGCCGAGACAGCGCCCCAGACGCCACGGGCCGCCGGCCTCCCCTGCTGGCCCAGAGCGCCCGGGACTGTGCTGCCCCGAGGCCGAGCTCCAAGGGCCCGGGAGCCCGGGACGCCCTGGTTCCGCTGGGACGCAAGGCTGGTGAGTGACCCGGAGCTCAGCGCCCTGAGCCGCAGGGGCTCCCCCGCACCAGCTCGGTGGACACCGGGGCTCCTCCCCGACGGGAACCCCCGAACGGGCTCTGCCTCAGGAGCCGCCCAGGCACGTGGGGAGACGCAGCTGTCAAATTGCCGCCCGAAGACCAGGGGCTACCGTGTGCCTGCGGCCAAGGCTGGCACAGTTTCTTTTTTTTTAACCAGAGAACTTGTCCGATATTTCAAGGAAAGAGAAGTAAACCCGGTGCCTCGGCCGCTTCCAGCCCCGCGCACACGGGCTCTCGGAGAGGCCGCCTGTCGCCGCGGGTCGGCGCTCGTGCCCGGCCCCGTGTGCCCTCAGGGCTGCTCGCCCGCCGCCCTGGGGGAGGCCCTGGCCACCGAAGGCTGGGCCCCCAGGGACCCCTGAAACACAGCCGGGAAGCACGGCCCCTGCGGCCTGGACTCTGCACTTCCTGCACAAGCACCCGGGAGCCGGGACCTAGGGGCTCCTTCCTCTCCGTCCCGTCCTGTCCCCAGCTCGCTGAGCGCTCTGTGCCCTGGGAAGGAAGGGGACGGGACGATGTACTGGCTGGGAGGATCCCCCAAGTGCTCTCCACTCGGAACCTCCAGGTGTGACCTCATTAATATAGAGACCTAGAGAGGAGGGGGAAGGGAAGAGGAGGAGGGGGGAGAGGGAAGGAGGGGGGAAGGAGGGGGGTTGGGAGGGGAAGGGGAGGACGGATGGAGGGATGGAGTGGGAGAGGGAGGGACAGAGGGGGAGGAGGGAGGGAGGCGGAGGGAGGGGAAGAGGGAGGGGGAAGAGGGAGGGGGATGGGAGAGAGGAAGGCAGGAGGGGGAGGGATGGGTGGGGGAGGGGAAGGGGGGAGGGAGGGAGGAGGGCAAGGGGGAAGGGAGGAAGGCAGGGATGGAGCAGGGGGGAGGGAGGGACAGAGGGGAAGGGGGAGGGAGGGAGGGAATGGGGTGGGGGAAAAGGAAGGAGGGGGATGAGGGGAAGGAGCAGAGATAGAGGGGGGTTGGGAGGGGAAGGGAGGAGAGAGGGGGGAGGGAGGAGGAAGGGAGGGGCAAGGGAAGGGGGACGGAGGAGCAGAGGGAGGGGAAGGGGGAGGGAGGGTGGGACAGAGCGGAGGGAGGATGGGGGAGGGAGGGAGGGAGGGAAGGAGAGGGGACTGAGAGGGAAGGAAGGGGAAGGGGGAGAGGGAGGGAGGGAGGGGGAAGGAGGGGGGTTGGGAGGGGAATGGGGAAGGGAGGGATGGCGGGACGGAGTGGGGGGCCGAGGAGGACCTGCCGAGGGTGGCTGCCCGGGGCAGTGAGCTGGGAGGAGGCCGGACGGTGCCGGTGCCATCCGGGCCCGAGCGTCAGCCGTCGGAGCCGATGCGCCGCGTGCATCCTCGCTGTTGGCCGAGCTCGCAGCCCGGACCGCGTCGCTGGGGAGGAGGGCGCAGGGCGGCCCAAGGCGGACGCCCACCCGCTCCTGGCCGAGGCCCAGCAGGCAGTGCTCCTCGGTCCTGCAGGTTGTGTCCCTGTCGCCACCCACTGAGCACTGGGCCCTTTATGGGCCAGGGGGCCGCTGTCAACAGGGCCCACGCTGTGAGGGTCGCCAGCATGCGCCTGCCGCGACGCCGTCACTCAGGCCTGAGTCGTGGGGCCACTGGCCGTGCGCCCAGCGTTAGTGACACCGTGTGTGACAGGAGGGGTCTTTGAACAGAAAGAGCACGAGGTTCTACCCGGGTCAGCTGACGAAACCGTTGGGACCGCGGCTCTCGGGGCCTGCGCACACCCCCCGGAGCCGTGGCTCGGTGCTGCAACGCGGCGTCCGCAGGGACGTGAGGACAGAAGCACTGTGGGGACCGGGGACGGGGACCGGGGACCGGGCCTGGTGGCAGCGGCGCTGAGCCGCCGGGACAGGCGCCCCTCATGCTTACCCAGAAGTCTGCAGGCCTCCTGGACGAGCCTGGTGGTGACGACGTCGTCGTAGACCGTGTAGGTCATGAAGGCGTCTTGCACGTCCGCAGAAGCTCTGGAAGGTGAACCGGGCAGTGAGGAGCCGGCAGCCCTCCGGCGAGCTCGGGCCTCCACCGCGTGCCCGGCTGAGCGCCGGCTGCCCCCGTGAGCTCCCGCCCCAGGCCGCCGGGACCGTAGGCCCCGAAGGGCAGCGGGTATGGCTCGGTCTCCTGTCCTCAGTCCCTGCCGTTGCACCCACAGCGTCAGCCTGGCTTAGGAAGGGGAGGGACCTAACCTAAAGATCTAAGATTTATTCATTCGTGACACCAGACAGGGAGGCAGAGACCAGGCTGAGGGACACGCAGGGCCCCTGCAGGGAGCCCGACGCGGGACTCAATCCCGGGCCCCAGGGTCACGCCCTGAGCCCAAGGCAGACGCTCCACCACGGAGCCCCCCGGGCGCCCCAAGACCTAAGGTGATAGAGGCTGCGTATCCACCGCACATGGGTCGGCGGACCTGGGGATGAGCCCCGGCCCTACCACGGTCAGGCTGGACGACTTGAAACAAATCTCTCTGCGCCCCGTCCGCTCACGTTTGCACTGATGGGATTGGGTTGGGTCGACGTTTGCGCGCAGCATGTGACGCAGGGCCCTCCGCTTCCCCACTCGCCCCGCTCCCCGGCCGAAGGCCCGTGTGGTCCCCTGAGAATGACTCCGGCACCTAAACCTGCAGTGCTCAAGGTGTGTCCCGTGGAACCCCTAGGCGGTGGGGGCTGGGGGGACCCTGGGAACCTTTTAAGGGCCAACACTACTTTTGTCATAAAATCAAGACGTTATTTGCCGTTTTTCCGGGTTAAGATGTGCTCTAATGGGTAAACGTGTTGCTGCCTCGGCGGGAATCGGGGCAGGGACACCGGGCCACGCTCAGCACCGTTTTCCTCGCCGCCGCACACTCGTGCGAGGAAGAGCAGAGCCGGTTCCACCCCAAGCCTCAGGCTGTCCTATGGGGGCGACGCGACTCATCAGGTGCGTCAGGTGTCTTGGACACGGCGTGGCGGAGCGGGAGGAGGAGGGCGGGCGGCCCCCGGGAGCACCTTTCCCACCGCCTCTGGGAGTCGAGTCAGCGGCTTTAGTCCCGGACCTCCGCTTCCACCTGAAGGAACCACCGGCAGCCGGACGGCAGCTGTCCAGGAGGGACGTGCGACAGGCATTTTGTTCAGCAGGAAAAGAACAAAGTTGACTCGTCACTGCAAGGAAAACAACCGCCGGACCTTGTTGCCCATGGTCAGCGCCGAGCTCTCAAGCGAGCACTGGAATTTTGGAAAACTCATATCCGGCCCGTGATCGCGGCGTCCCGGCCCTAGAGGCCCGACGAGCGCGGCCTTAGTGGCCACTGCGGCCTGGGGAGCCACCGGCTGCGCGCCTGAGCGGGGCAAGACGCCCCGAAGTGCAAGCCGGGCCAAAGGACGTGCCCGCAACCTGTGAGGCACCTGTGAGAGGCGGCGCTGGCAGAGCTGTCGTGAGCTTGAGACGAGCCGCCACGACGACCCGAGAAGAGCCTGGACCGGCCTCCTCCTTCCATACCGCCCCCAGGAATTTCAGTGAAAACCGCAGATCACCGGGTAGCGGGCAGGAAAGAGAATCCAGCTACCTCCTCCGAAGTCAGACGTTGAAGCAATTTGCAAAAAAAAACCCCAAAACCAACTGTATATATATATATATATATAAAGCAAAGTCTCTCTTCTCAGCGTTGTTTTATTTGGCTAATAGTTATTTCTCATGAGCATTGGCTCACGGATCATAGACTTATAATTTCTATTTTCGGCCAATCAATAAATAACCGTCTATTAAAATCTCTCAGGTTTGATTTCCAGTGCAGCACACGTCCATAGATAAAAGCTCTCTGGGTCTGCGGTCGTTTTTAAGATGAAAAAGGCTCCCTAAGGCCAAACTGACAACTTCTCATTGAAACCCAGAGTGAGGGGCGCCTGGGTGGCGCAGTCGGTTGAGCGTCGGCCTTCGGCTCAGGGTCCTGGGATCGAGTCCTGCATCGGGCTCCCTGCCTCTCCCTCTCCCCCCAGCCCGGGAGGGCGGTGAAGGGCCACCTGTATGCCCCAGTGATGGTCCCGGGTGCCCCTGGGAGGGACTGCAGGCCCCCCAGCCCCCAGAGCTCCCCCTGGTAGACTCAAAAGCATCAAGATCTTAATGTGACCCCCAAAATAGGCATCGGAAGGAGAGCTGCAGAGAGCTCCCTGACTGGGGACCCCGTGTTGCAGGGAGCTGCCCTAAAACAGCAGCAGAAAGGTAGGGGCAGGGGGCGAGGCACGTAGAGGTGGATTAGGGGCTGGCATCCTCCTAGAACTCGCCACCGGGGACGAAGCACACCTTCCTAGTAAGAGGCTGCCTCGAAAGTCATAGATGTACAGCAACAAACCTATCTCAGCCATCAACAAGAATAAAACACAATGAAAGCAATTTTCAGCCAACCACGTTAGAGGAACATTCATTCCATTCTCTGGATAGAAAATGATCTCATTAAATCATGGTCATGTGAACAGGGGCGCCAAAAGCGGCCAAAGATGCCAGGGAAAAACGTAAAAGTGGGTCGATGGTTGATGATGATCATAATAAATGTATGTTACCTTTGGGGCCTCTGATGTTAGTGTTTTCGGTCAGCTTTTCCTTTTTCTTTCCCTCATTCTAAATACGTGCTTGCTTTTGGAGCTAAAGTTTTATTTGTCATTTTCTATTATGTTTTTTTTGAAGGACGCTGTCCAAATTACGGAAGTTTCGGGCCTTACACTATCTCTTTCTATTCCTGCGAAATTTACCTTCCATGTATTCCCACCAAACAAAAGATATTTCTCAAGCCTTATTTTCAATGGTGTTTATCAGAAAAATAACTTTCCGTTTTATATGCATACAGATGTCATAATACTAGGTAGTTTTTTTGATGTTGTCAGCCTTTGAATATTCGATATGGTCGGGTGGGCACCCGACCGCAGTCAGCCCATCAGATCCTCCGGCTCAAGCGTCTGGAACTGAGACGCCAAGACACTGACTGAGTCAGTCTATCGGGTGATCGTGACCTCGTAAGCTGAAAGGGCATAGAGAAAAATTGGGGAGAAACGGAAGTTAAGAGACTTGCAGAGAGAGCCGGGGAAATGGAGTGAACGTGAAAAGAGGCACAAGGACGGCGAGGGGCGCCCCAGCCTTCCGCGGCCTCCTGAGTGGTCGCTCCCTGCTCCCTGCAGTTGAACTGACCCCCCTCGGGCCCCCCTAACTCCCCCAGAGTCCTAACTCCCGTGAACTTCAGCTCAGGGACTGAACTCATTGTTGATCCTACAGGAAGTTCCAGGCTCTCCACCCAGGTCAAGCCTCACACGTAGGTGAGGTGAGACCATCATTACCTCCGTGTAGGAGTGACCCTCATGGACCTCGGGTCCCCGCTGCAATCGGAATAAAATCCCCACCCCCTTCCTTCTTTTTTTTTAATTTCTTTAAAATTTTTGATTTTTTAATTTTTACATTTTTTTTTTTTACACCCCCTTCCTTCTTCATCCACTGGTGTCTTCTGGTCCTTAACCCTGTCTCCCCTTCCAGCTCCTTCCAGACTCTTGGTCATGATCTTCCACTCACACTGGGTTTTCTTTTGGGTCTTGAATTGACCAAACGGACTCCCCACCCCGAACCTCCGGGCTGGCTGTCCTCTCTGCCTGGGACACCCATGCTTCCCGACTCAAAGTGGCTCCTTGCTGCCTTTTAGCTCAGGGATCACCTTTGTGGACGTGGCCTTCCTGACCGCGTCGGAGACCCCGTGATCCCCCACCCTGGTCACCATCAGCTACGGCACGTAGCCCGACCCGTGCTTAGGGCCTGTCCCCTGCCCCTGGCTGGAGCACGCGCCCCGAGGGCACAGAGCCCGCGTCTGCTCCCTTCACGGCTGCTCCCGGGGCCAGCAGTTCTGCTTGTTGAGTCCGTGGGCTCGCTCCCCCCAAACAGCCAGTAAACCATACGGCAAAATGCAAAGGCTGATCCGACTCCAGAGGCTCCGCTCTCCCCAACCCATTAGCTGCTTCTCACTGTTAAGCCTTGATAAGGATTTTAGCCAGAAGGTCGTAAAAGAGCGGTTCATAATTAGAAAGCTATAAATCCAGGTTTTATGAGAGAGGAATAAACAACGCCGGCAAAGGAGGAGAAACATCTGTTGCTGATTATATCATATAAAATAAGATTTATGTCATAAAGTCTGGAGACATACTTCATTTTACCTAATCATTCCTCCTTAAAATTTGTGTAGGGATTAATGGGTTTTTCTTTTTCAGCTAAAATTCTATTTTAAAAGCACCAGGGAACTTGTTATTTAAATGCAGCCTGAAGCAGATCCTTTTGCACAGCAAATGATGTCGCCTTAATTTGCATTTTATAAGCTGAATTTTCTGCACTACAGTCCAGTTTTGTTTTGTTTTTTTTTTTTTTAATGAGTTCTACAATGATGCAGTTTCCATCGCTGGCTGAGCCGGTGAGCGAGGCTCTGCTTGTGGTTTACAGACTCGCTTCCAACGTGGTCACATAGGTGTCCCGTGCTGGATACACAGGCGTATCCTTTGAGACCCAATTAAGCTCAGGGCTGGTGCTTCACGATATAAACATGTAAAGTCTCGCCACACAGACTCCAGATGTGGCCTCGCCGGGGTCTCCGTTCCGGGACATATTTCCCTGATTCTCTTGCGCCTTCTGCACCCTTCCTTCCGCTGTCCCGTCATCTTGGAGCTTGAGGGCTCACCGAGGAGCCGAAAAGGAAGAAACGACTTCCTTTCTTTTGTTTGTTTGTTTTTTTAAAGATTTTATTTACTTATTCCTGAGAGACACAGAGAGAGGCAGAGACACAGGCAGAGGGAGAAGCAGGCTCCCTGCGGGGAGCCTGACGCGGGACTGGATCCCGGGACTCCGGGGTCACGGCCTGGGCCGAAGGCAGATGCTCAACCGCTGAGCCACCTGGGCGGCCCCAAGGAAGAAACCACTTTCACCCACTTACACATGGAAAGCTATTTTTTCCCCTGG